AAAGAACTTACTCATCCAAATATTGTTCAAATACACGACGTTATCCCAAGTGATGGTCAGTGAATGAGTAATTATTAGCATGAAGATATTTGGATCAAAATCAGTGCTGAATTTGGCTTTTGTACAATTAATTTTTATATTCATTCTGAACTGATAGTAAATTGAATAGAATCGTAACATGGAAATATTATTTCAAAATGTTAAACAGATTCGGAAATACTGGTTGGACAATGATTGAGGCTCAGATTTGTATGGTTTGTTGACTTCATTCATTAAATAAAATTTATTGGTTGACATAATCATCCTAATACAGTATTGTTTTGCAGGATGCAAGAAAATATATATGATATTCGAGCATATTGATTACGATTTGAAAATGCTTATTGAAAAGTTGCAGCCCAAACCTTTACCAATGCTTTACGTCAAAGTAATTTAGTATAGTTATTCTTTGCTGAAAATCATTTTAAGAATAATTAAGTCAAAAAACTTCTTTTGGAAAAACTTATCAGTACAAAATTTGAATTCCAATTTGAATTAGTATTACCACGAAAATTTTAGAGTTTCTTGTGGCAACTACTGCGTGCTCTTACTCTCTGTCATACAAATCGTGTATTACATCGCGACTTAAAACCACAGAACATTTTAGTGGCTGCAAATGGTACAGTAAAAATTGCTGATTTTGGTCTTGCACGTTCCTTCACAATACCTTCTAGATGTTATACGCATGAAGTATGCTTCATATACTTATGAGTTTTGTTTCTTAGTTTTTCAAATAGTTACTTGAAATGTGCTAATGTGATTGAACTTTACTTAATTTCTGTAGCTTTCTTCTTGACATAGTTTATAAATCCATGGAACGGTTTTATGATTTTGAATGGACATTCAATATAGTGCATTCTTTTAAGATTAAAAAAATCGTGGCTATCCAACTGCAAACGTTTGGATATATCTAAGAAAATGTGCAGAAAAGGCTACATTTGAGTTCGGAGGATCAGTTCCAGGAAAGTAGCTTTTTTTGCAGATAGTAACTTTATGGTATCGTGCACCCGAAATTTTACTTCGTTCAAGATTTTATTCAACAGCAGTCGATATATGGAGTTTGGCTTGTATTTTTGCTGAGTTAGTTACCTCCAAACCGCTCTTTCATGCAGATTCTGAAATCGGTCAACTGCTTCAAATATTTCAAATTCTAGGAACTCCTACTCTGGAAGTGAGTTCGGTTAAAAGCTACGTTTGCTTATATGTATTTTTTACGCCTTGCATTGCTTCTTTTTTCTTAAAAGAAAGAATGCGAGTAACTGATTTGTTTTTCAATTCATGTCATAGAACGAAATATCATGAATGCATGCCCTACAGATAAGGTGTTTTAGATTTGGCCTGACTTCATAGATTGTGTTGATTACAATGATAATTTCCCGAAATGGACAGAATGCCTTTTAGCAGAACACGTACCAGGTCTGGATAGTGACGGCTTAGATTTACTCGCGGTAAAAGCTGTTTAAATCACATACAAATTATTTAATTGATGTTATTTTCACTTCAAATGAATTATTGGGAATGTTACTTAGTGAAGAATAGTGTAATCTAGTCTTGAAAGCTGACTGAATATATATGACCCAGTCGAAGCACTGTTGAAAGGCATAAAAACAGTGATATTTACTTATGGATGTTCGTAAAAGAAATTGCCTTTTAGCCTTAAACTTTGGTCATTAATTGTTCATTTGAGTAAAACATCTTTCCAAAGATTTTGCTTCGAGAGTTTTGACATTTGCTGTTCTAATGTCAACAATTCTTTTTGACATAAGTTATTTTCCTTTTTAATCTCTATTACTTCCGCCTTATTTAATTATATGATTTTGTGAAATTGGTACCATTTGCAGCAAATGCTGCTATATCCACCTGAAGAAAGGATCACTTCAAAAGCTGCACTCAGTCATCGTTTCTTGGGAGATGTACCAATACATATTGAACCGGTTGCGACGTTATTTGGTTCAGATAATGAATAAAGTCCAGTTTGAAACAAACCATGTTCATCAAATTCAAATTATTACATATATCCGTTATTGTTTATAATTATTTGATATACATATATCTGTTATTCTTTACAATTATTTGATGTCAGGGCTTTCTTTTATATAGGATCTTGGTGACAGCAACAAATGAGAGATATCTGATCCCGAATATTATTCTCATGCAATAAAAAATTTACTGAACAATTGCATCCTTTCTCTCATATGGAAGAAAAAATTTCTTTTTCATTATAATATTGTCGTACTTATAAGTGTTATGGTATATGCAACAAGTCAGATTTAGTCGTTATGTTTTCTTCAACAGAAGAGTTTACCCAATTTGCTGAGCTCGAATATTAATCAATGAACATGTACGATTCTTTTTCGATTTTCAGATCGAAAATATTTTGCTTAGTTTAAGAGAAATTCATCCAGCTCTGCTAGCTATTGAAGGATGAAAAATA